GCAACCCAGGGTCCCCAACTTGGCCAGCTTAGGAATGAAATGATGTGCTCCAGACCCATAGAGGTGCTGCCTTCCCCTGCCACAGTCAAGTTCTGTGATCCCCGTTCTTTCAGCCTTCAGTACAGGAAGATAGATTTGTAGAGTTTCTTTCATGCCCCCAGGACACAGCAGTGGGCTGCATTCCCCATGCAGTCTCTAAGAAACTGACGGGTGAGCTGGCCTCAGTGGGCCATGTGGTATATGGAGGGAGCAGAGGCCCAGACAGACCATGATTTTCATCTTGGTCCTGTTCCATTCCAGACCTTGAGAAAGTTACCTAATTTCTCTGATTCTCCAACTACTTGCCTATAAAATAGGGACCCTGGTAGGATTATGAGGACTAAACTGAGGCTGTGTAGGGAAAAAACCTGGCAATTCACCTGGCATATAGGTGGTGCCCAATGAGTATTAAATCCTTTACCTCCCAGCCCAGTGGTCCCATCATGCTTTTCCAGACTTGCCACAGCCTGAGCAAGAGCATCCCAGAGACGGGAGTGAGCAACATTCATTCATTCAAGAAACATTTACACAAAGTGCCTGTGTGCCTAGCACCCTAGAATATCAACTTCACTTAAAGATTTTTAAAAATATTACTTTAATATTAAGACAAATATCAGGGAGAAGAATGCAAAATTTGCATTAACTTTAAAGAAAAATGTGAGTTATTTGGCCCATGCCCCAGGCTTCCTAGGAATCCCATATAGGGCAGCTTGAAGGTGCTAAGTTGCCCAAGAACTTGACCTCAGGTCCAGGTCACACAGATCTTCACATTTTCCTGCAGTGAGTCATGAACCAGAAGTGACGTGGTCCCTCCCTAGAAAATCAGGGTGGAAAAGAACAGGTCGAGAGAAAACCAGCCAATTACACCGTAAGCCCTCACTGTGTTCACAGTTCCCAGAGCCTTGCTTACACAGCCTGTCTTTCTGAGAGTCATCCTTGGGCCAACTCTTCCAAGATTATCTCAACTTCAGTTCTTCAGTATCTTTGGAAAACATACTCCCATTTCTAGGAAAATATCATGAAATTTGCTGTATGTCAAATCCGGGATGTTCAGCCAGGTCAAAGTTGTTTTCCTGGGCTTCTCTGGTGGCGCAGTGGTTGAGAGTCCGCCTGCCGATGCAGGGGACATGGGTTCGTGCCCTGGTCCAGGAAGATCCCACATGCCGTGGAGCGGCTGGGCCTGTGAGCCATGGCCACTGAGCCTGCGCATCCGGAGCCTGTGCTCCGCAACGGGAGAGGCCGCAACAGTGAAAAGCCCGCATACAGCAAAAAAAACAAAGTTGTTTTTCTCACTTACTTCCCAGTCTAGCCTCCTGCACTTCTAGGGTCACCCTCCAAGGTCAGATTCTGGGATGTAAACTGGAGGTGACTCCATCCATTTACCTTTGCTCCCTGTGCCTTGCTGGACTCAGATCTGTGGGCTCCTCTTAGCACAGGTCGACCTGGGCTGGAAACCAGATCTCCCACGTTCACCTTCTTCTTCTTCATAAAAATGTAGCTCCTTCACTGAATCAATCACCATGTCAGATGTCAGCTAATTTCATATTCGATATAAACAGAAAAATAATAGCCATAACCATCTCTGAATGGTGAGAATATAAGTGGTTTCTAATTTCATCACTTTGCTTACCTGTATTTTCTCATTTTCAACAATGAGATGTATTTTTTGTGTACAGAGAATGAGAAGAAAATGTAGAGACTAACATTCCTCTCACTTAGTTGTTTCCTGGTAGATTTACATTCTGAATTCAAGCTCAAAATTCAAAGCAGAAAGTCACAGAATGTTTTTCCATAGAGGAGACTAGAAATCCGGTAACTCCTCCTTGCTCTTCTCCAAGCTGAACCAAATTCCAGTTTATACTTAGGTTTACCAGATCAAAGGAAATTGTTTTTGAGGCAGGATTATTTATCAAATGTACTTTACATATGGTTATGAATCAAAATCACAACAAAATCAGAAAAACTACTGGTGAGGTAATGCAAAGCCATGGGCTGGGGAGATCACATTATTCTCCAAAACAACTTAGTAACCTAAGGAGGTGACACTGGATGTGGAACTGTAGTAGTCATTCGTTCAACAAATATTTGTATATTCACTGTGTTCCAGGCACAATTCTAGGCACTGGGGATACAGCAGTAAACAACACTAGCAAAAATCCCTGCCCTCAGGAAGTCTGTATTCCAGTCAGGGAGACAGAAGCAACAAAAACCTTAGCATAGTATTAATACTGTTTCTACTGTTTTGACTGTTTTTCTGACATTTTTCTCAGTGAAGGAGAACTTTCTCCCAAGTCCCTTCTACAGCCAGTGGCTAGGTTGACTATTTCTTGACACAACCCATTCAGGAGTGGGACAGACTGGATCCTAGTACCTTTAGAGTCAAGGTAACTAGAGAATTAGAGAGCTACCCAGCCATGATCTTCCTGCAGTGATTGTCCTAAGGACTTAGCTGATACAAAATGGTTCAGCTATTCCCAGAGGAAGAAGATGAAGTACCCCAACCATGAATGGAGTAGAGAACTGAGCCAGAACACTGGGAGACCAGGAGCTGCCACAGTGGGCCACTGGGATAAGCAGAAACAGGAATAAGACTGACTTAGGGAGAAAATTTTAGCTCATGTAAGAGAAAACACTTCAACAGACAGAGCTGCCCCACAGTGGAATGGGCTGAAGGAAAGGCAATTCTCAGGCTCTGCTGGTGAATGACAAGCTCAGCTCTGCTACTTACTGACTGTTTGACCTTGAGCTAGTCCCGTAACCTCTATGGGTCTCAGTTTCCTTATCCGTAAAATGGGAATTATAATGGCACTTAGTTCATGGAATTGTGGTGAAGATTTAATAAGAGGAAGCATGTAAAGTGCCAGGGTACTACCTGATACAAAGTAACTTAGACATTGAAAGGCAGGACCATGGTCCAGGCCTAATACATGACCTCTGGCTGATTTGGACACATCAAGACCTCGGTCCGCCCTGGAGGTGCACCAGGGTACTGGGCAAAGGCAGGGATCAGGCCAGTAATAGTGTTCAGCGTTCAGGGAATGCCCTAAGGCAGAAGCACCAACCCTGCATATACACATCGAGCCAGGCTGATTTGGGAGTGATCTGGGGTTCAAAATAGGAAGTCCCCAGAGAGGCTGTACTCAACATCACAAAGCTCCTAAGGGCCGATTAATGACCACAGCAGCAGTGCTAGCCTCAGTCCCACTCTGGGTCATCCAGGGCTGATGGACTCAGATGGCAGCCTGTGACGCAGGACTCTAGAGGCACAGCCAGGCAGGGCTGGAGAGCTCCAAGCCACAGCCCAGTGGGACAAACAGCAGCCTGAAGGCAGCCCAAGATGGAATCCCAACCTACTCATAAACCCTCCTGTGGTTCCAGGTGGGGGGCATATTCAGACAGGTTTCCTCTTGCACCCCAGTGAGGATACCCCAGGGGCAACTGCACAGCCACAGGTGACCTGCGTTATAGCCTAGCCCCACCTCCTGGCCCTGGCTTTTGGTAATGGCCCAAGGGTAGGAGAAGGCAAGTAGCCAGTCCGCTTGTGTATGCCCAGCAGGCCCTCTGGCAACTGCCATCTCCATTCCAACGGCCTTGGAATTAAAGGCGGTCAGCCTTTAATTGTTGAGCCAGTGTCTAGCCCACAAGTTCCTGCCATCACACCCTCCCACCAGCCAGCTTTCCAGGCATGTCTAAACCTGTCTGAATTCTCAGCAGGTAAAGAGCTCAGGCGAACCTCCCCCCATTCCCCTCATGTCCACTACTTAAGTATCAAAATCCCAAACAATAATATCTTGTATATGTGTAGTGCTTAGCATTTTTCAATGCACTTTTCATAACCTTAGCTCACAAAATCTCCAGGAGAGTTGAGACTCAGACTTGGAGGCACAGAGTCAGGAACAATGCCCCAAACCCTAACTCAGCAATGGTTTAAGGAGACATCATCATGACTACAGAGTCTAGCATACTGTCCCTGCTACCTACACCACAGACACCCTTATGCTCGATGGTGCCCGTAAAACTGCTGTCACTGGAAACTGAGATTGCACCCATCAAGTCACTAAAAGGGTTGTAAAGCAGACTCTGCTCCTTTGCTGTCACTGGCTTCCAATTCAAAACTGGTGAGGGGTAGCATGGGGATGGGGGGCTTGTCTGACTGGAGAAGCCTGAGCCTGAGGCCGATGCCCAGGCCTTAGCTGCAAAGGAAAATGGCTCCACCTCATGATGCGCGGAATTCCTCAAGCACAGGAAGGAGGCTCAGCTGCCAGGCAACCAAAATGAGTGAAAAATGTCCAACTCTGCAACTCATTCAATCATCACACCAACACATGAAGTTGTCAGAATGACTCTCATTATCCCCATTTTAGATGGCAGGAGTCGACCAGGGCAGCTTCTCTACCAACACATTGAAATAAAACAGGGAGAAAAGAAAAGTCTTGCTTTCAGGTTTAAAAAGGTCAACTGCAGGGGCTTCCCTGGTGGCTCAGTGGTTGAGAGCCTGCCTGCTAATACAGGGGACGCGGGTTTGAGCTCTGGTCTGGGAGGATCCCACATGCCGCGGAGCAACTGGGCTCATGAGCCACAACTACTGAGCCTGCGCGTCTGGAGCCTATGCTCTGCAACAAGAAAGGCCGCGATAGTGAGAGGCCCATGCACAGCGATGAAGAGTGGCCCCCGCTCGCCGCAACTAGAGAAAGCCCTCGCACAGAAACGAAGATGCAACACAGCAAAAATAAATTAATTAATTAATAAACTCCTACCCCCAACATCTAAAAAAAAAAAAACATCAACTGCAGAAGCGTGGGATAAGAGGAACTAGTTTTGGCTTCAGGTCATGTAAAGAAGGTCTTAGAATCTCAGCTGACCTTGAGGTTCATATGAACCCAGCTAAAGAGGTTGCTGACACAGCCACTGCAGACTTGTGAGTGGGACAGTGTCTTGGCCTCTGGGCCTGCCAGACTTACCTGGGGTTGACCACTCTAGTCTGGTCACATATTTGCAGAGATGGGCAGCCAAGGTAGGGAGGTTTTGTAACATCTGGTGCGTGGACTCTGTTGCTTCAGAGGGCAGAAATGGGGCCACACAGGAGCCACAGGGACTGCATGCCAGGTCAACACCTGTAGAACAGGGCAAAAACAAGACAGGTTTCCTTGTGAGGTGGTGAGGTCCCCATTGCCAGGGGTATACAAACAGAGGCTGGAAAGCCATCTATCAGAAATTTTAGTTGAACTGGATGATGAATACAGTCCCTTCCAACTCTAAGATACTATAAGCCAACAATGTGTGTAAACATTGGGCACAATCTACAATCACCCTCCAAGAGCCTCCTAGGGACCCACTGAACTAAACAATGACAAAAGAAGAAAACCAAAAATATGCACTCTTACTAGACATCAATTATATGCAAAAATAAAAGGAAAGGTCATTTTATATGTTACATGAGTCAAAACTGAAAAGTAATGTCCAGTACTGGAGAGGTTGTGATAAAGCTGGAACATTCGTACTGGCGGTTGGGTAAAATGGGTACCACCACTTTTTGAAATCAATGTGGCAGATGGTATCAAAATACCAACAGCAGGACTTCCCTGGCGCTCCAGTGGTTAAGACTTCGCCTTCCAATGCAGGGGGTGCAGGTTCGATCCCTGGTTAGGGAACTAAGACCCCACAAACCCCAGGGCCAAGAAACCAAAACATAAAGCAGAAGCAATATTGTAACAAATTCAATAAAGACTTTAAAAATGGTCCACATCAAAAAAAAAAATCTTAAAGAAACCAAAAGCATATTTAATCCTTTACCCCAATAACTGTTCACTCGGTAATCTACCTTAAAGAATAATTTGTAAAGGGTAATTGGTATATATTTGGAGATATTCATTACATCATTATTAATAATAAACAAAAAGTCTCAAATAGGAGAGCGGTTAAGTATAGTATAGTGTTTGATGGAATATTAGGCAATCATTACAGATGGTGTTTATAAAGAATCTCTGTTCCTCGAGGGCAAGTCCTGCATCCTATTTACTACTGTAGTCCCAGCACTGCCTGGAACATAGAAAAGCCTCATTAGCTATTTGTTGAATGAATGAGAGAATGAACAATTGAGAAAAGAATTCAATCTTAGCAAGGGAAAATGCTTATTACATGTTGAAAAAAACAAGCAGAACTCAAAATTATACTTAATCTATGATTTCCAGAATATGAAGTATTAAATACATGTGTCCTACATGTGAACTACATGGAAAAATAAAAATAGATGTTAGGATCATGTACTAGGGATGATAATGTTATTCTTATTCATTCACCATGTTTTTCTGAGTACCTGTTATGTACCAGGTGCTGCGCCATGTGCTGTGAGTAGAGCAGTAAACAAAATAGACACAGTCTCTACCCTAAAGGAGAGTTCATTCTAGTGGGTTAATGGAGGAGTGAGAGTGGGGAAGAGACAGACAATAAACGGATAAGTAAAACAATGTATAATATGTCAGGTGGTAGTAAGTGCTATCGGAGAAGAAAAGCAGGAAGCGGGGATAGAGAGTGCCAGGAGAGGAAAGGCTGCCATTTTATATGGGATGTCCGTGAGGATATCTAGGGAAGATCTTTCAAGCAGAGGGAACAGCAAGTGCAAAGGCCCTGAGGCCAAAGTGTACTTGATGCAATCAAGGAATAACATGGAGGTCAATGAGCTGAGCAGCAGGAGCCTGGGAGATGAGGCAGAGAAGCTACAGGAGTCAGAGTGTATATGGCCCTGCAAACCATCATAAAGACTGAAAGGCTTGCGCTCAAAGAGACAAAGAAGCCACTGGAGGCATTTTTACAGAGGTGTGACATGATCTGACTTATGTTTAAAAGGAATCACTCCTTTTATAAGAATATTTTATGAAAGTTTTAGATGAAAGGAAGAATGTTAAACAATGGACAGATTATCAATGACATTAATGAGCTGATTCACAAAATATTTTCTGAGCACTCCCTGCTTTAAGGGGCTGGAATAGCAGGTCTGTTTCAAGATTACAAAGACATATCAACATATCACCAATACAGAAGTTTTTGGTTTTTTTTTTTTTGGCCACGCTGCGCGGGATCTTAGTTCCCAGGCCAGGGATTGAACCCAGTGAAAGCACCGAGTCCTAACCACTGGACTGCCAGGGAATTACCCCCATACAAAAGTATTTTTAAATAACACTGTTTAAAAAAAAAAAAAAAGACAGAGATTGTCCAGAGCAATTAACTGATTTTGTCCTTTTTTCTTTTTCTTTTTTTTTTTTTGGCGGTATGTGGGCCTCTAACTGCTGTAGCCTCTCCCGTTGCGGAGCACAGGCTCCGGATGCGCAGGCCCAGCGGCCATGGCTCACGGGCCCAGCCGCTCCGCGGCACGTGGGATCC